ATAGTAGTGCCTTGTTGCATAAAGTCTCCCTTACCATCTTTAACCGTTGTCATGAATAATTTTTTTAATTAATTTACAATTTTTTTCAATTACTACTGACATTCAATATTATTTTACATTAGTTTCAGGTGTACAGCATAGTGCTTAGACACTTGTATAATTTATGAAGTGATCCTTCCGATTAGTCTAGCACCCACCTGGCACTATATATAGTTATTACAATATCATTGACTATATTCCCCATGCTAATTTTTCTTCAACAGTTCCCAAGATGGTGATCGCCTGCTGCCACAGGCTCAGGTCTGCAGAGCTTCCCCTGAGGCATCCCTGCCGGGCCCTGTTTCACAATCAGGGGTGAGGGAACCCCCTTCAAACCAGTGCTCTGATAAATCAAGCCCTCTGGTCTTCAGTCATCCAAGACAGGGTCCAGCTCCTCCTCCCCTTGTGGCCTGGGAGCAGCTCAGCTGCAGGCAAAAGAAATGTAACCCCGCATTAACTGTTCCTATAGTTTTTGTCTGTTCCCCTCTCCATTCTCAGCATTCTCTCCTGGGCACCTGGCCCACTGCCTGGTACTCTTAAAACTCAATAAATACCTGCTGAATGAAAAAGGACGAAGGCTCCTGCAGGGAGGGAGACACAGAAGATACGTGGTGCTGTTTGTCCCCAGACTGGGCCTCCCTTGCAGAGGCCCCAGGGAGGAGAACCAAGTAAACAGAGATGCCCTTGTCCAGGCCCCTTGCCTCACCCACTTCATTGTTCTTTTCTGCATCCTGGACAGCCCTGAGAGGGTGGAGATGTGCTCTTTTGTTCTGCTTCCTGAGTTCCTCTCCCGCTGGGCGGAGGTGGCAGCTGCCTCTTTCCTCTGCCATTCTTCCGAATCCTGGGGTCTCACCAAAGCCCAGACCTCCACGGTGTGCACTTCTCTGAGAGGGGAGCCTCTTCTCCCCACCAAGACACGACACTCGGGTGCAGAGGGAACAGTGTGTGCCCACGCTCCGTCCCCCAGCCCTCTTCGTCTGTGGTCCCAGGGCCTAGCACTCAGAACGGGCTTCAATGAAACTGGGAAACAGGCTAGAGTGGGAACCCCAACCAACACCAGTCAGAGTGTGGGCTTCACACCTGGCCAAGAACTCTCTGTTCCTGGTCCTGAAAAGAGCAAGTTCAGATGATAAGGGTGTTTTCAAATGTTAACTTGACAGAATGTTGTTATGACTGCTGAATCTAATTACTTTAAAAAGGGGGTTGAATGAGCAATCAAGCCATGAAAAGACATTGAGGAATCTTAAATGTATATTATTAAGTGAAAGAAGCCAACCTGAAAAGACTACGTGCTGTATAATTCTAACTATAAGGCATTCTGGAAAAAGCAAAACTATGAAGACAGTAACAAGTTCAGTGGTTGCCAGGGGTTAGGGGTTCAGGATAGATGAACAGGCAGAGCAAAGCAGAATTGCAGGGCAGAGAAACTACTTTCTTTGATACTACAATGATGGATGCATGTTATACATTTGTTCAAACCCTTAGAATATGCAACACCAAGAGGGACTCTAATGGATTATGATGTGTCAATATAGTTGATCAATTGTAGCAAATGTAGCCATTCTGGTAGAAGATGTTGATACTGGGTGAGACTGTGCAAGGGTGGGGCAGGGGTATAAGGGAAATGTCTGTACTTCTTGCTCAGTTTTGCTGTGAACTTAAAACTGCTCTATAAATAAAACTTAATAAAAAGGGGTTACATTTTATATATCCTTTTTATTACTATTATTTCATCTTCCTGGTAAATCAGTGCTATGGACCGAACGTTTATATCCCCTCAAAATCCATATGTTAAAGTCCTAATCCCCAAGGGGATGGTATTTGGATTTAGATAATTGAGTTTAGATGAGGTCATTCGGGTGGAGCTCCCATGGTGGCATCAGTGCCCTTTTAAGAAGATGAGACCAGAGGTCCCTCTCTCCCTGTGAGGACACAGCAAGAAGGTGGCCGTCTGCAAGCTGGAAAGAGAGTCCTCACCAGACACTAGACACCAAATCTGCCAGCACCTTGATCTGGGACTTCCCAGCCTCCAGAACTGTGAGAAATAAATGTTTCTGTTGTTTAGGCCAGTCTGTGGTATGCTGTTATAGCAGCTCAAACTGACTAAGATAGTTTTCAGTGTGTTTATTATAATTTACAAAAGTTTTTGGTCCATGACAGATTAGAGGGGAAAAATTGGTCCTTCATCCCAAATAGTTTGAGCTCTGACTTACACCAACAGCCCTGGTACAGGAGCCAGAAGTCTGGTCTACTACCACTGCTCCTTTCTTGGTGCTGAGCCTCAGTTTCCTCATTTGCAAACTGAGGAGACAGAATGACTGGACCTAGCCAACATGGCCAGTCAGCAAGTGTCTGAGTCTTTTGGAAAAATGGCAGACTCAGACAGTTAGGGGGGCCATGGGCCTCTCCCCAAAACCTCCCCATCAGGTGAGATGTTCCAAAGAAAACAAGTCTTGGGGCAAATCTGCCAGGCAGACACAAATATTCATTGGCGAGTCTGCACAAAACAGTTTGTAAGGTCAGGAAAGTCCCACTCTCTGTCCTCAGACATGTGAACTCACTGCTTTCGTGAAAGGTTGAGGCAGAGGAAACATCATCCTAAAACAGCAGCCCATATTGTGGTCCATCCTGTGACAAACCTCATGAAGTGGGGACCATGTTCTTGCACCTCACTGGTGCCGAGGCAATGCTTCTAGCCAGCCACAGATCATGAGTACCGCCTATTTCACCAGTGAAAACTAATTTCAGCTACCCCTCTTGATAATTAATGAACCCTCTGGTGTAATTTTGATTACATCTGAAATGCTTCACCACCACTGGCACTGGATTGTGGATGCCTAAGGTACTCCAAATGCAAAAGAGCTGCCCTCCCTGTGTACATGCAATTCTGTACGTGCATGTGTATCACATTATTAATGCTCATGTATTTTGTAGTATATCACACAGAGACAAACAGGGAGATGAAACACGAGACCTCTAAGTTCCCTCCCTAAGCAAATACATATAAAATATTATATTTGATACTATAATATACATTGTAATAGGTAATATATATTTTTAACTTTAATATTCCTTAAAGTCTGAGAAGGCGCAAGTCAGTTTTCTGACTTCACCAGTACCTTCAGATGCTGAAATTACATGGCACGTTCCCCAGGCTGCAAGGTCAAATCTTCAAAGTTGAGACAGGTCCCCACTTCTTCCTTATGTGTGTCAAGTGGTGCCCTCAGTTTTCATGTTCTCCTTTCCTCTTCCGGTTGTTGCTGGCAATTTCCCTTTTCTCAAGATTGCTGAGACCACCTCTGTGATGGTTGCCCCAAGGCTGGAAGCAGACATGGTCCCCACTTGTCTTCCCTGAGCCTTCATGGCAGATGGTAAGTTCTGTGGTGGTAGTTGGAGTTGAGCAGTAAGGAGTTCAGAATGGAAAAGGAAAGGAATGCAGCTGGGGGGTGGGGGGTGAGGAGTGGGGGGTGCTCTCCTGTCGTGGGAGAAAACAGAAGCTAGAAGGGTGAAAAAGACCCAGCCACACCTGAGTGGAGAAGGCCAGTCCTCGCTTCCCCAGCCCTGGGAGAAGAACAAATTGGTGGGCTGAGAGCTCCTGGCCTCACCCCAGGACGCTAGGTAGGGAGCAAATAAACAGCCATAAGAGAGGAAAGCAACTAACCTGGGCTATGTGGGTGGTCCAAGGGTGTCAGAGAGCCTGGGGCTTGTAACACAGCAGAGCCCCTCAAAGAGGGCAGAGGGGCTTGGCCCAGGGAAGTGGGCCAGCCACCAGTGGCCTGCTACAGTGCCAAACAGCAGAGGACTTCTAAAGAAATGGGAAGTCTGTTTGCATTCATGGGGAATTCAGTACATGGGACAGGTGGAGGAGAAGGGAAAAAATTCCATTCTGGGAAACCCCTGGAAACCTTTCCTACAAACAGCTCACTGAGGGAAGCAGCCCAGACCCCAGCCTTTCTACAGGCCCCCAGTCTCCCTTATTTCCAGGTCTGCTTCCACGGCTAGATTTTCAACCCAGCTCGGCTCCTCTGTCTCTCCCTCTTCTTTACTCAGTCCTCTGTCCTCCTGCCAGTCCCCACTCTGGCAAAGTTTGTGGGCTTGGAGCCTGGGGTGTCTGAGTCTTAGCAGTCGCTTTCTCATAGAAGCAAGGAGCGGCAAACTGCTACTATTTGAGAGGTTGGGGAATGGCGTGGTTTCTGGAGATGGGCTGCTGGGATGTGAATGGCATTTCCACCACTTAACTTCTGAGTGACCTTGGGCAAGTTACCGAACCTCATTTTCCTCACCTGTAAAATGGGGATAAACATAGCTCCCACCTCTCAGGCTGCTGTGAGGGTGAAATGAGAGTGTGTGAAGCCCCCGGCACAGACCTGAAACACAGGCAGTGCCCAGTGAGCACGACAGTCCTGTCCTGTGTATAGCCTCTTCGTTCTGCTCCTCACCTCCTTTATCCCACATCCTGACCTAAACTAGTCTCTGCTACTCATGTGATCTCTTCAGATGTAAATTAAATTGGTCACTCCTGTTGAAAACTCTTCCACAGTACCTCAGTGTGAGCATAAAATCCAGCCTAAGGCTCTTCCTACAGCAGCCGCTCGTGCTGGGAGCCCCGGCATTGGCCATTCCATTCGCCTGGAACACCGCTCTCTATCCCTCGAAGTCAAGTCCAGTTTAAATGCCATTTCCTCAAAGAAGCCTTCATTAACCACCTCCTTCCTTCTCAGCACTAGTCCCCAGTCTGTAATCGCTTTACTGATTTATTACTCATGGTCCCTTGAGAAGGCAGCTCCAGAGGACATTTGGATGACGGATGTATTTTTATCCACAGGGATGAGGGTGGTAGAGATAAAACTGGTTTGGTGGCCTGCGCAAACCAGACCTCCACTGCCCCAAGTTCCAAACCCTCGGTAAGGTAAAGCCTGGCCACCTCCACGTACGCAAATGTTGTACACCGAGCCCAGAGGTCCAAAGTAAACATTTTTATTCTCAGTCCTGCCTCAGCCGTCTCTAGTTTTGCAAGCATGAATAAATGGAATCAACAAGAATACTCTCCCTAAACGTCTTTCATTATAATTTGTCACTGAAAAGGTTTCCTGTTTTCCCTAGAGAGTGTAATTTCAGGGTGACCTAAGATGAGGCTTAACGATTGCAGAACGTCAGGGTTAGTTGTCCTGCTTCCGTGCCAATTCCTCTCTCACTGAGCAGTGCAAGGCTGCAGGAGCTGTCAATAGCAGCCCGGCAGATCTGTCCTTCCAGTGACAGAGCACTCGGTGAGGAAGAGCACCATGAGGGGAGAGCGGCAAAGACTCACGAGCCCCGTTTCTGCCTACACCAGGGCAGGGGACCCAGCAGAGGAAGGAGAGATGCTGCTGTCACATGGCCTCCAGCTTGATGAGCCCCACAACTAAACAAGCCTGGGAGAACCTGCTCGTTCACCCTCGAACACCCTCAGTCAGCAAAAAGGGGAGCCAAAGAGCAGGAACAAATGTCCTCTGAAGTGCCCCCCTTTCTGAGGAGTTCCCAGAGGGAAGCCCCAACTCCCAGCCAGGTGAGAAAGAGGGTCCTTCCCCTCGGAGCAGCCTTTTGCCTTCCGGGGCCCATCTGCCTTCCTGCTCCGCAGGTCATTGCAGGAGCCTAGCCCCACTGGTTCACAGGACAGTCTCTCGGATGACACCGATGAGGCTGTGTGGCCGCTCAGCCTCCACTCGCCGGGGCCTCCTCTCGGCTCTCGGCCTCCCTGCCGAGACGAAGGTGCTCAGGTCTCCACAGCTCTGCAGGTGCAGCAGGCCAGGCTGTCTCCGCGAGGGTAGCACGTGGACCCCAGAAGTGCTAGGCTGCAATGGGGCCATTATCTTTGGGAGAATAAAGAGAGGTTAAGCTTCACCAGATGTGGTCCTGGGATCTGCTTCCTACATGCTGCAATGGGGCCATTATCTTTGGGAGAATAAAGAGGATGGGGAGAGGTTAAACTTCACCAGATGTGGTCCTGGGATCTGCCTCCTACATCCATCCATGTAATGTTTAGTTTAGTTGCCTTGAGAAAGACAAAAGGGTATTTTCCCAAAGTTGAACCCACTCAGAATTCCAGGGAGACTTTTAACATATCGCCTCTTTTCTAAAGTTCCTAAGAAATTCCCCAAATTTCCTATGGTTTCAACTGTCAACCTGCCTCACTTCACTGGTTCATCTATTGGAATTTCTCACTTTATGTTTAGCATCCCTCTCATCACTTTTTTTATTTTTTACAATTTCTCTGTGGTCTAAGCCAGTGATTCTCACTGGGGTGTGCACATTACAGCAGGAGAGGCGAGCTTGTCAGGAACAGGGATGCACAGCTGCCCCCAGACCAATTGTCGTGTGAATCTGGAGTGGGGCTCAGGCATCTGTTCTTTTAATAAGAACCCAGGTGATACCGAAGTACTTGAAAATTGGATAACCCTGGGCCTGGCATTGTGAACAGGTAATGAGTTTATAACATGTCGACCAAAACCGATGATACTTCTAATTGATCTAATAACCCTTCGATAAACAACATAATAAACAACATCACAACTAGGCCAATTTATTTGTAAAAACTCTTAAGAATGGTTCTACTGCTAGATCTATTTTTGCAATGTGCCACATATATAACTTTAAATATATCATATCACTTCCTTTGTAAACATGGGATTGATGAGGGGGGGAACTGTTCAGTACATGCAAACACAGTCATGGCTACATGACCTTAAACACTGTTAGCGCCTTGGGAAAAACCCAGCTGCCTAATTCCCACCAACATTGTAGGACAATCACTGGGATGACTTTTGTTTAGTATGTACCATTCTGGGATTTTAAGGTCATTAAAAGGTCACTCTCCCAAATAGATGAGACATTAGATTTGCTAACATTCTATTATTATTTTTCTTTAAGGCCTGTGCTTATTCCCTGATTAAGAAGAAAATTCCAACATTCACAGATGTCAAGTGTTATTGACGTGTAAGTTAGGACCAATGGTTTTGACAATGGTAAAAATTAAAACGGATCTAAAAACACTTTCTAATAATATAGAAGGAATGAAATGTGCAAAGGCTGGGTAGAGTCAGAAATCAAAGCTCCTCTTCCGGTCCCTGCCTCCTTCTGTTTGAGGAGGGTGTGGTATTATGATACGTCACCACCAGGATCTGGCCCTGGAAGCCTCCAGCAGATGAGCCGAGTCGATTGCAACAATCCCGGTACCCGAACTTTTATCTAGTCTGTGCACAAAGGCCCAGCAAGTTTTTGTAGTGATAGTACTGTCAGACAACGAGTGCTTGTTCTTTTTTCCCAGAGTGATTTTCCAGTGAGCAAGACTTTGCAGAAGGTCCAGAGCAACTGCTTGCTCCAGCTCCTACCTCACCAGAGCTTGGCAGCCTTTGAGAAGTGACTCCAAATGCCTGGTGCTGTTTAGCAGGCCATTGGGGATGGACAGAGGGAAGGAGGCAGCGAGTGACATTTGGCACAGGCCAGGGGCACCAGGATGTAAATGTCTCCCCTACATAGGCTACTAGCTAGGGCTTGACCCAGGACCACTGGCTGACCACTGTTAGATAGCAGATGACAAGAGGGTCCACAGTTCAGTAAGTCTTCATGTGAGTAATTGAATAGCACTTTCTCTCCCCTGAGTTCCCTGAGGGACTGGGAGAGAATCTGGCTTCTGGCTTCTATTAGAACAGGCCAGCAGATAGAAAGGGAGAACAGAAAGGAAAGTGAGCGGGCTATTTATTCAATCTGCCTACAAATTTACCTAGGATCCTGTAGCTGGTAATGACCTTGAGAATCAGCCCAATTCAACTTAAGAGGTATATCCTAGGCACTTAATACACACAGGCACAGCCAGGTAACACCACAAACCACTGTACACTGCCTTCAACAGCTACCCCACATATGTGGAGCAATGAGGTTAAGGTCTCAAAGATGACCGCTTTTAAAAGAGGTGGGTAACTAAAGCTGTGACCCATCCCCAGTTCTCATCAGAAGAAAATTTCTTTCATTCAGAGATACAGGCGTAGAGACCACCTAGTCCAACCTTCACTTTAAAAATACAAAATCTGACACCTAAATGAATCATGTATGTGGCCTGATTGTTTCTTTTCCCTGGTGGCTTCTGTTTAGGGGATTGCCTTGTACTTTTTAACCTATGGAAAGGAAAAGGTGTTTATTCCTTTTAGTCCTATCAGCTTAGTAATCTTGCCAAACATTTCATGGTAATGTGAACAGTTCCCAGAATCTTGCCAATATGAAAATTCATGTATGTCCATCATTGTCGAGGGGCTAAAAATACATGCCATCCCAAAGGGAACTTTCAATACAGGAAACCAAGTGCTAAATGTGCCCCACACTGCCCATATCCCTTGCTCTTATCCCCAAGCTGTAGCTGCACCCTTTTTCTTTTTCCAGGCATGCATCCACATCCCAGAAATACGGGTTTGTCTTCCTTTGGGCCAAGCACGCTACGGAAAAATCACCACACCTGAAAAGAAAGTGCTCAGCTTCCTCTCCCCGCCAGCTCCATAGACCTCCAAACCACATTTCCCTGGATACAGTGATCATGAACTTACTGTGCCTTGGACAGAAAATCGGAGAAGCCCCCTCAGCTGCTATGGAAACAAGTTATCTGATTCACACTGGATATTAATAATAAAACTACCTGTTCAAGGAAACTGGCACTTGTGATGGCTTCCTCCATGTGCTCCTCATCAGACTTCAAAACGGATTTAATGTTTTCTACAAGTTCGTGGATGTCCGGGGTCATACTGCAGGAGGACTGCTCCAGGAACTTCGCCACCAGCAGCTTGGTGTCTATGTAAGATTTATAATCTACTAAAGAACGCGGTCTGCATCGTGAAGCTCTGGATCTCAAACCCCTCCTCAAGGTCACCGCAGCCAGATCCGGTCTTCCCTCAGTCTGAGTCGCAGCTTCACAGCTGAGCACAGGGGTGGCTGTGGGCAAAGATAAACAACACAGACCCGTTGGCTATGCCCCTATGAAAACACGCCTGTATCTGAAACACCACAGACCACTAAACTCAGCATGGGAAGCATGTGACAAATGCTGACGGCCATGCACAGCTTGCTTTTCATTTTGCAAAAAGAAAACAAAACCAACCACTATGACACAAGCTTATTTCCTGACATGTAGTTCCAATAGGACATGTCCCCCAAACATTTTATTGTGCCACATAAAACACACCCCCAAGGTAAAGACAGATGATAGAGAAGAGCATCCGGAATACAAACTATAACAGAGCGACAGTTTCACGGGGTAATGACCAATATATGGGGATGGATGCGGCAAACAGACCAAAAACACGATTGAACAATAAAAGAACATTCCAAGCAGGGAGGATGAAGGAGCCACTTAAAGAGAGGGACTGAGGAGACAAGACTTGCGGGATGGATGGAATACTCCGTTCACTTTGTACCTTTGTCCTAAACATCCTCAAGGGCACTGTACTGACTTATATCATCAATGCTCACAGCATGGCTGCGAGGCAGCTCTACAGCTGGCTATTACAGAAAGAGAAATCTCGATGCAGAAAGATCACACATCATCCCAAAAGTCAACAGCAGGCCTGGGAAATCCACAGCAGGCTCTAATTTCCACAACTACCTACTTCAGCAAGGGCATAAGGACCGGCAGAACGTGACTACACTGTCCGATGGGTGAAGTGAAACTGAGGCCTGATCTCCACGTGTTCATAGGCAGCCAGCAGCCTGCAGTGTGCACAATACTGGGGAGTTCCGTCTGTGAAAGCCTGAGAAGCAGCAATTTGGATACTCAAGGGAGAAAGGAAGCGGGGGTGGGAGAACAGGTGGAGGAAGGGAAGCATCCTTTTCCTCTGAAGAAAGGTCGGCATGAGGCTCTCTAAACAAGGGTTAGCGGCGGTCCTCCTAGGCTGCCAGGTACATTTCGCAGAGCCGGAATCTTCTAGAAATACTCCCTACAGACACTCATGTATGAGGACAGAGTCAGGGACTGCACTCAGTCACTTGAAGGCGACCTGGTCCCTTCTACAACGGAGGGCTCCAACAGGTAAACACATGTCGTCCTCGCCCCTGGAGCACTGCAGAATGGGAAAGGGTTCTGGACAGATCTCTCTAAGCTGTGCAAAGTTCCTGTTGAAGCTGGCAGGAGGCCAGCTCGAGTCCTCAATGTGCCAGGTAGGGCAGAGACCCACAATGAAGAAGGGTCTGGGGAGCTGAGGGGCCAGGCTGCCAGCCTGCTGGGGTTGCAGAAGCGTGCTCAGTCCCAGGCGGTGGGACTCCTCCCCACGCAGAAGCCACAGTAGAGACAGGAGTGTTCTCTCTGGCTCCCACACGGTCAATCCAGAGCTGCGGCAAACAACACAGGCTGTCAGAGGGACGGAACCAGACTGTAAGGGGGTGACACAGGGCCCCAGAGAGAGAAGGGTGAGAATAGTATTTGCACAGAGCATGAGGAGACCGTAGGCCACTCGTGAGAACAGGTCACCAAAAGAAGCCAGTGCTGGTAGGATTACAGGTTTTCTTTTTCTTCCTTTGGTTCCTTTATTTATTTATATTGTTTTACAGTTTTCTACAATGAGGACATATTTTGAGATATTCAGGTATTTATATATTCAGAAAAAATGACTCAATGTTATTTAAAATTTTTTAATTAAAAAAAATTTTAATTAAATAACATCTTTACACAAACTCAAAACAGAGAGGAAGAGAGATAGAGTGTAAGTTTCACTCTATCCAGAGTTCTTAAAACAAGGTCAGATTTAAATAATTCAATTTACTCATACATAGTAAAAAGATAACTAATATTAAATTATAGAAGAAGAGATTTAAAAATACATCCTTTTGATTTCTTCCTTGAGAGAGAATGCGTATTCCCATAGGATAGTGAGCATCTAGAAATGAGAACTAGATTTGCAAAATTTTCTTTGTACAGTACGTACCATACTATCATGTGCAACCAAATGCTTTTGATGAAAATGACGTAAAAAGGAAAAAAAAACCCTACCAGCTTTAAAAGATATGGCAGATGTATATTCCTAATGTGCATGTAGAATATCTTATTTTCCCAAGACCTCTTAACCTCCTTTGAGATATCTCTTGAACTGTTATGTAGGGCCTTGGGCAGCCAGAGCCACCTGCTTTCACCTGGCACCCTTAGGCAAATAAGTGCTCTGCCAGAAGCTTGGGGAATGACCTCACCTCTGTCCACGGAATGGTGGAGCACAGGGTCACTCTTCGATCTTGTCCTCAGGGGCTGCAGGGCTCTTCCGCTTCTCATGGGATGTAGCTGGTTTGGGTTGGGAGTTGAAGTGGATGCGTTTTCTTCTCCAGGTGTGTTAGGGGTGTCCCCACCTGATTTTTTTTTTTTAAACAAGAGAAACAAAATTTATTTCACCAGCTGCAGCTTTCAGAATGTTGGGCAGGAAACACCTGTGAGCCCACACCTGCTGGGTACGAGTAATACAGTTTAACAACATTTGCTTAGGCTGCTGGCCCAGCAAGTTTGTATTTCCCAGCACTACGGGAAATGACTCTTCCCCAAACCACCCTCTAGCCCTAAAAGAAAAACAAATAAAAACCTTTAAATCCAAGAACAAAATTAAAAAGCCCAGTCAAAATGTCAGTTTTTTTCTAAAGGCACTTAGCATCTTCTCTGGTGAAGCATCCTACTACAGCTGCAGTATTGGAAAGCTCCTAGCTATCTTATAGTTTCTAGCCATTCAGGATGAGCTTGATTGGGTGGAAGGTAATACCTGCACAGGTGAGGTGGCTGCCCTGAGGGCTGCAGACCAAATGCAGGCAGAGGAGGCATCTGCAGGCCAGGCTGTGAAACTCCTAGAAAGCCAAGTTAAAGAGCCAGCGGCCACTAAATGAATCAGTAAAATCAGTCTGGAATTGGATGACTTTTACTCAGGAAAAGAAAGTCACATAATTTGTGAGCCTGAGTTGTGGTCTGGGAAACTTTTTGAAGAAATAGAAGAATTACAAACATACGTAGGAAACGTATGTGTGCTGCACAATTCTACATAGGATGGAAGGTGAACAGAACAGGAACCCAATTCCAAATGGTGCTGCTGAAAAATTACCTCCACCTAAAATAGCTAGGTTGATCCATTATTTATCACCAAGGACAGATTTGTCCTGGTGGACAATTCTCTGGGTCATTTAAAACCTCTTCAAAAAGAGACAGCTATAACAACGTTCCTTTAAATTACAAGGATAAATATAAACTGACTCTAGTATTTAATGCGGGACTGGAAATCAGAAATCAGCACATGTTAAGGCAGAATGACCTGGGCCCTAGGTTATAAATGAGGGCGTAACCTCACAGCAAATCGTCCTGCAATAAATGAAACGCATTTTTCCTTCAAAAGAGCTCATGTTATTTTAACAGGAGAAATCTTTGGTTGGAAAGCACGGGAATGCCAAATTAAACTCTGTAATCTATTTCTTAGGTCCAGAATAGTCTGGTTATTATGGTTAAAAGATTCTAAGGATATCTGTATTTCTGTTCACATGTTAACTCTCACTTGTAAGCCCTAATAGCTGATCGTATTTTCACACCTGGAAAAGATGTAACTTAAATCATTTGCTCCAAGAACATCTGACCTCCCCCCCAACAAAATATCATAGAGATCATAATTTTATCATGTTTCAATTTACTGAATCACAAGTTTGGGCAGTGATAATGGGTTTATCACCTTGAGCCACTGGTATGCAGATTGTTCCCAAAGGCCTCGTGGCAGCTTCTGATCCTTCTGGCATTTGGAATGAAGATCCCTGAATCACCGGAAAGAAGAGAGAGATTTGTTGATAATCAGCTCAAGAGTCATCTGGACTCAGCAAACTTCTTAAAAAGATCTGTAAGGCACGTTCTCCCATTGTTCTCTGTGCCACATACTTGTGGTCAACGTACCGAAGAGAAACCCTATAAACAGTACCTGCTCCTGGTCGGTCTGGTTCACCACAGCTTCATAGGGAGGTGGGGGGTCCAGTGGACAGAACACTTCCACGCCCTTGATTCGTGCTCCGTAGATATGCGGCAGTGGAATGACATCGGGACCAACCATCCTAGGAAAAGCACGCTGGCATCAGGCCATCTGACTGGCTACCTGACAGCAGCGGCTCCTGCACACTGGCCTTTGCCTCTAGAGGGTTATGCTTAGGCAAGTGACCATGTATAAAATGCAATGCCATCATTCCTTTTAAATCCACTAGGCAAAAAGGAAACAATAATCCATAAGAGACTAAAAGCAGATTAGTGACTGCCAGGGGCTGTGGGGTATGGGGAGTGAGTGACTGCTTAACAGGCTCTCCTCGGAGGTGATGAAATGCTTTAGAACTAGATGGAAGTGATGGTGGCACCTCATCGTGAATGCACTAAATGCCACTCAACTGCACATTTTCAAATGGTTAATTTCATGTTATGTGAATTTCATCTCAAAGGAAAACACAAAACAAAACTAGGGACTCGGGGAAACTCAATTATTTCTTACATTAGTAAGCATGCGCCAAGTTTCTTGCCTGGGTTTCCCCAATGTTTGGTTCACAGTAGAAACTCACTACACGTTAAAAAATATTTAAAAGGATAAATGAAATTTTCAAATAAAGCGAACAATGCCATAGCTCAGAGGTGAAGACGCACAGTGCGGGAGAAATCACAAAGTGACCCCTATTAAAGGTAGCCATTCAGCAAACACTGACTGCTTGCTGTATGCCAGGCTCCGCGGTTTTTGTCCTAGGGGACCCTTGGCAGCAAAAAACAAAAACAAAAAACCCACAAGATTTTCTGCCAGTGTCCATAGAAAATTACACGCACACATGTTTCAGCCCTCAAACTTTCATTTTACTTTGCATTAGTGAAAATTCATCATAATTGCTGTTAAGATTGGGGGGAAAAAAGAAGAAAATTCCATACACACACACACGTACGCAAATAATCTAGGTAACAAAGAAGCTAAATTTCAAAATAATAGTTAAAAATACATGGAAGTTTGTATTCTTTAACAAAACTTCCAGTTATAAAATAAATGTCGTGGGGATGTAATACACAGCATAGTGACTACAGTTAATAATACTGTTTTGTATATTTGAAAGTTGCTATGAGAGTAGATCTTAACAGTTCTCATCACAAGAAATAACTTTTTCTTTTGTTTTTGTTTTTTGTTATTTATTTATTTATTTTTTATTATGGTGACATTGGTTAACAAAATCCATTAAGTTTCAGGTGTACAATTTAGCATTAAGGCATATCTATACATTGCATTGTGTGAAGAAAAAAAAAAAACTTTTAAACTCTGCATAATGATAGATGATAGTCTTGCTGTGGTGGTCATTTTGCAATACAAACAAATGGCAAATCATTACGCTGTACACCTGAAACTGTATTCTATTTCAATTATATTTCAATTTAAACACATACACACACGTGCGCACGCACACACAGAAGATATTTAAAAAAAAAACAGATTTCAGGCCACAAAGCAGTGGAGAAGGAGAAAAAATAAATAATAGCAAAATTTAACATCTGTTCTTGAAATGCAAAACAGGACATAAACTAAAAGACTAATGAAAGACATTTTGGAGCCAGTTGCACTCAGGAGACTGCTTTTTCAGAAAGTCAGTTCTGGATTGATGGCTGTTTCATTTTATTCCCCATGCTCGTTTACAAAACTGCAATTGGTGGAGGAAAAAAAGTTGAGAAAGCTGTGATGTTCTTTATTCCTAACAATTAAACGTCCAGAATTCTGGGATTTAGAAGAATGAGACTCCTGTGGGCTGAAGGAAACAAATGAAAAAGCTCTCCCCTTTCCCCTTTATCTTCTATCAAAAGGAAGACTCTCAGCCCCTGCCTCACCTGAAACGTAAGGGAGGTGATATTTTGACACCTAATGTGGGGATATCTGCAGGCTCAGAACATAGCATATAACATGTCTAAATAAAAGTGCCGGCATGAAGGGTTTCTCTCAGGGGTGGCTGAGAGGGGTCCTTGTAAAGTTTTCAAAAAAGGGACATTCTCTTCTTAGAGCAGGACTTGCCCACAGGTTTCACGCCAACTCTCCATTCCAGCTGGGGCTGTGTGAGAACTACAAACACAGAGCGACTCCAAGAAGCCAGACTCTTCCTGGACCTGACCAATGAACAAGGTGACCTTTTCACTCAATGAGACCCGGGGACTCTTTCCGTCCTCTCCAGAGGGCCAGTTTTCAATCCTTAATCAGCATAACCTTCAAGAGCTATCTTTCTAGCACTTATAAACCCTGGGCTTTTCCCCCTTGGCCAACTCTGCCAGCATTTCTTCACTGCTTTGCCCTTGCCTGGAAAGTTAATATCCTTGTTTGTTTGCTAGCTCTGGCAGCATTCGTTTTATATTCCCAGCCCAGTGGTTACCTATATAGTGTGTTCACAGAGAAGAGAGGGCTTGCTTAGGGCCTAGGGGTCAGAGGAAAAAGCTTCAATTTTAGATCCTAAACTACTACAGAATCTCTTCGAGAAGAAAAACTGGAAGGGGGAAGGGCGACACTCTTTATCTAAAATGATTGCAAAATGAAGCTTCTATGACCAGGAAAGCCTCATTTTGATGGAAGATGCTGCTAGAGTTAATGCAGCAGGAAAATTCCTTTCCTGTTGGGCAGCTTTTCCTTATTTTATCTCTTTGGGTAAATAAGGACTCTTGGAGAGAAATGAGTCTGGTAGCTCCTGGAAGGTTTTTCCTGATTGCACAGGGCTTGCAACCCTAGCTACAGAGTAGAATCGCCTGGGGTGGTTTCTCAACTTTGGATGACCCAGGTCTCACCTCCACAAATTCTCCTCTAATTGCCTGTTGCAGGACCCAGGTATCTGTAGGTGGTCAATGCCCCCAGGTGATTCTGATGCCCAGCTAGGACTGAGACCACTGCAAAAGGAAATGGATTATAGTGGCTGAAATTAAAGCCCTGTTATATCTGAGAAAGGTAATGGGATTTTTATTAAGAACCTGTGTCTTACGAAAACTGCTACCTGGTAAAGTAGGGGTAAGATTAAGGTCTACATGTGTCTTAAGTGTAAGATTCATGCCAAGAACACTTGAAACTGGGAAAGTAACATTGGTAGAGCTCAGTCTAAGCTTTTATTTTTAGAAGGATTTTTTTTTTTTTTTATGCCCATAATCTCTTAACAATCCTCTCGGCAGCCATGTAGCAATGCAGGTGAATAAGGAAACTGAGGCTCAGAAATGATAAGAGATAAGAGATCTACCAAGGGTCATCCTTTTAAGAGATTCCAGAGCCTGGGCTCTTTCAAGTTCATCCAAAGTCTCCAGGAAACCTTCATTGGCTCATGTTCCTGAGCACTGAAGATGAAGAGGAAACTCAAATAGATCATGCATGTGTTCTGCTTTGATGCTACAAATAGGCCTTGAGAATTCATCCAAGAGTGATGCAGCAGCTAATATGCCCTTTCACTGGGCACACGGTGGTAGAGTTGCTGCCCGTGGAGCGGGCAGCAAGGGAGGGTGCCCCGCCCAACAGCTGAGCACTGCATCAACCTCTAGCACAGCCCTGCTCCACTTGAGTGTGGGTTTTGAAGCTTGTTAGGAAAGAAAATGGGTGGGATTTTTGACTTCACCTTCAAGAAATGCCCGGGTCAACCTGGCTCCCACCCCCTCCTCTTTAATATTCTATAGCAGGTATCATCCCCACAGTACAACCAGGCCCACCTTCATGAAAGGGTTTGCAGACTCTTCTTTTTGACTCCTGGCTCAAGCCAACTTCTGAGAATGGGGGGCTCCCTAGAGTAGTGGAGACGGGGTATGCAGAGCCCCTCCTGTACTTACAAATCGATTCACAAAGTAGATTAGCCATCTTTGGACAGAAGCCTTGACCTCAATCAGGCTTCAGTTTATGACAGTAACTTGAGAAACACTTTCTCAAGGAGATACCAATGCATGAAGTGGTTGTATTTATAGAAGTTAAATAAATAAACCTCTTCTGAGAGGTCATAATACTTTACAAGAAATGGGGAGCCTCTATTGTGTGAAAATACTTAGCATAACTGATTGTGGAAATTTTTTAAAAACATTCATTAATATTTTGCCTACCTGCTTACAAGATAGAAAATTACCAACTGGGGTAAAACAGCTAGTATCTACAAAGTTCATTTATACTGAGAATCTAGCAAAGTCAGTGAAACTAAAAATATCTTTGATAGAATATGTATCTAAAGGTGAATAAATTTAGCCATTTTAAAAAGGAAAGTGGGCTGCACTTTCCGATATTGGTAGAATTTCAGAAAATAAGAGTATTTGCCCGTTGGAGATCTGATCTAGAACTCCGGGTATACATTTTAGGCTGAGTAGTGTCTTCTTTCTCACAAAGGTGTTTTGCTTTAACACCCTCCCCCATGTTCGTTCAAGAAAGTTTTGAATGGTAACGAGAAACACTTCTGTCTACTTCCAACCTAGATTTGGTCAGGGGCTGTCTCAGGACTGGGGGACAAATCCAGGAAAGCACACAGATCAAGAGCAGATACCCACCCT